GTGCGGTTTCGCCTCGACCCCATCCCCGGGGAGCAGAGGCTCCTTCCTGCCGCCCCGAGCCCGGCTCATGTTCAAAGCCACGAGCAGGCAGCAGCTAATGAGGCCAGACAATAGGGAGCTGCGTGGGGCAAGAGCGCTGGCGAGGGCCCGCTGCGACGTCCCCATGCCAGGCACGGCACGGCTGCGGCACCACGGCCTGCCAGGACCCGGCGAGGGACCCTCGCTGCCGGGCAGGGCACGTGCCCTCGAAGCCCCGGCGGCGCTGCGGGCTGTTTCGCAGGGCGTCGTCGGGGCATCCCACCCGCGCTGTGCCGGGACAGCACCCCACGGGGCCACCGCCTCCCCACCCAGGGGCAAGTTGGGCGCTCGCTCCGGGTAGAGGTGCCGGAGGGGTGTGGGTGCCAGGCGGGGTGGCCAGGGCTGCCGACGGCCGGCCGGCTTCATCCCCGTGCGGCTCCAGCTGCCCGCAGCCGGCAACCCCGTTGGGGCTATGCCGGCGCCAGGCCCCGGCTCCAGAGAGCCTCAGAGCCGCCTTTGTGCAGGGCGCTGCCGGCACACATGTGCGGGTGCTGGGAAGCAGCTGGCGGGACTGGGACCCTTTCCCAGTGCCGCCCCCGGCCGGCGCCACCCCCTCCCCGCCAGCACAGGGACCCCCGAGGCGCCCGCCGGTTCTGGCACACTGCCCTTTGCCCCTTGCCTGGGGGCACCCCTTGGCATTTCCAAGGGCGGCCAGGGCTGTGGATGAGGGATGCCCAGGCACGGCTGGGGCACTCGTTTCGTCCCTGCCCTTGTGCCCTCGCTGCAATGGCGATGCCCCCTCCCCGGGCAGGGATGCCTGTCATCCTCCTGCCTTGCCGGGCCCCATGCCAGCATACCAGCCTGGTCCCAGCCTGGCAGCGCCGGGACACCCTTGCAGCCCCCCTCTCCCTCATGCTGCCATCCCGTGCCTCAGTTTCCCCCATGCCGATGGCCGCAGCCAGGCAGGTTCCCGGTCTCTCCTTCCTTTCCCTGGGAAGAGGGAGGGAGCTTCCCCCCACCGATTCCCCGCGTCCCGTGGCCGAGCCAGGAGACTGTG